TGAAGAAAGCAAAATGCAAAGCAACTATACAATCGTAGTGATGCACAAGAAACGAAAGAAAGCCATAATTGTCTACAACCTAAAGGAATGTGATAATGGTAACAGTAAAATGAACTGTTTTCTTATAAGGTAACATTCGGCATTCATTAGCTGAGCAGACAACGCTACTTTTGGATGACATTTATAAAATCTTACTATTTTTTTTTAATCATTTTACCCAAAGCTAGACAATAAAGCCACTAAGACGCAAGGTGTTGCTGAGTGTTAGAGCATATGAGAAAAACTACTATTAAAGAGAAAGAATAATAAAAGAAAAATTAACAATTAAAAAAAAATAAAAATAAAAAGGGTTTCTCATGTGCAGTAAATGTTATCGCTCATTCCAGTATTAATAGGGGTTTCCTTCCTAACTTTTTGTTTGATGTACTGTGGAACGTCAACATCTTGATTATTTTCTCTTCGAATTTACATGTGTTATCTATTTTAGTTGTTGCCTCAAGTGATGTGCTTTTTCTTATCTGGTAAATTTGTGATTGTGTAGCGCCAGTCCATAATGCTCGAAGTATGTGGTCTTCGCCAAGATCCACAGGCTTTAGTCGTTCAAAGCCATTTTGAACCATTGATTTTAGAAAGCGGTTGCATACAGACGCCAGTTTAGATATCTCTGAACGGTTTTGGCGCTATGCTTGTTGAAAATCTTCAAGTGATGTGGTTTCTGTCATTTGCTACAATTCTTTATGATTCTATAGGGCCTGTCCAAAAGATGAGAGAGAAAATGGTCCTCAGTTAGATCTACTGTTTTCATTCGCTCGAAGCCAAATTTAACCATCAAACTGAGAAAGTAGTTGTATATACCTGAACGAGTTTAGCAACATGTGTGGCATCTATATGAAAGTCTCGGTCTGGGGAGTTTATTTGAGGTGTTGAGCGAATCTACCTCGAACGCAGCCTATTCTATATTCACTTTCCTTATTTCCACTACTAAATTTGTTATAAGCGATAACATACACCGAGGTGTTTCAAGTGTTTAGTATTTACTAATTGCACATCCTGTATTTTATGATGGATTCAGGGTACGTACCACCACGAATTTCACTATTATTTCAGTTGGTTTGTTAAGAAGTAATAAAAAGCTTCCGGGAGAAGAAAAATAAAATGATTCAAATTTGTTAAAACGAACAAGCCTTAAGAAACAGAGCAGAACTCCTGCTTCTAATGTAGCGAAAAGCGTGGTCTTCTAAAGGTTTTTTTTTTATTAATTGATAAAAAAATCTCTGAAAAAAAAATTCAAACAAATGTTTGAGGTAACATTTAATTTATAAGTGCACGCAACAAAGACAGACGATACGTTTAAAATACAGATGATAAATTTATTGTTAACACACAAAAATGAAAGAATTATACAAATTAAGTGCTTTGTGTGCCAAATGATGGCCAATAACATGTATGTAAAAATAACCAATGCTAATGAAATATTCCTCTTTTGCAATAAAAATTACAAAGCTGCATAAGGTCCTTAGAACAGGTAAACAATATAAAAATAAAATGAAGAAAGGAGAAAATACTTCTTTGAATAGTTTCAAAGAATAGGTACAATTTTAGAAGCAAAGTTCGTGGAAGAACAGAACAATCACACCAGCCGAATAATTTTCCTTGATGTGCGAGCGACTTTCAGTTCTCGTCTGATGGTCGTCAAATTTCTTCTATATTGTTTTTTTTCCTTGACCGGGCACACCTGGATTCATGCATCAGCTGTTCGTCGACTCCTCGAATTCAATTTCTAGCCCTTTATTTATTCGCCCAGATAGGCTCCAGATAGGCTCCAGATTAACTTCTCGGAATTTGTAGGGAAACCTTTTGATTGATTCCGAATGAAAAACAAACGCAGCTATTTTCCCGCAAATCGAAATGTACCAAAATATATTTTTGAAATTCAAAAGTTTAAGCAAGAGCCCAAAGCAACCTCTGTTTTCTCCCAGAAAGCAGACGATACACGCTCAAGCAGCAGCTTAAATTTCTTATACCTGTAAGCAATATATAGTTTGAGTCCAGCCATTTGATCATAAATGAAGAGTTGATTTCATGAATCCATAGGCCTGATATAAATTTCAGCCTGGTGGTAAGTTAAGGACGCCATAGTATTTTAAGCTGGTAACTGAATAGTTACCATTATCTTCAAATAGAACTAAAGAGGAACGATACTGGCTTGTATAATACCATCTAGTGAAGTTTACAGTTAAGTTTCGAAAGTGCAGTGATTTCACATTGAAAGTGTGCTGATTTCCGAATTCTCTACGGTCTACCTCAGACCGAACTAATATACACGATCACCGATCATCGCAAAACAAAATAAGCATAATTTGGTATACAATCTAACAGAGAAAAAAACAACAGAGATCTACTTGGCGGGAAATGATTTCAAATCCAGCAGACGTTAACGGCTTCACTACGGAAAAATCTTTCAGAGGGCAGCATCTCATAAAGGTATTTATTATCCCTTCCATAAAAATTCCAACGTATTTTCTTTATATATATGTTTGTCTCTCGTTCCGATCTGAAGATGTCTACCATAAAGATGTGAAACACGTTTTCTGAACAATTTTTCTATATTGTTCCATTATATTCACTTTTGTTCTGATACTGTTTTACATCCAACTAACACTCATGTTTTAACAGGAATAAACCAAATAAATTTGCAACCTTGCCGCACATTGGCGTGTGTTATATCCGAACTCTCTCTCTCTCTCTCTATCTATCTATCTATCTATCTCTCTCTCTCTCTCTCTCTATATATATATATATATATATATATATATATATATATAAATGGATGTATGTGTGTGTGTTATATTAATTGAACACATCAGATCTTCAATAAACACTGCTCTTTCCATATAATGTACAGCCAACCACTGAAAAACCCAAAATCAACACCATAAAATGACTCTTACCAAAAAGCAACATGCAAATGCCGCAGCAATCTCAAAATTTTACTGGGATATTAAATCTCATGACTATACACCGGCAATAATTTGAAATTACGTCGCCAAATCTACACCCTTTTCAGGCCACGGCGACTGATGTAACCTGTGTTTGCTGGGAAAAAAAAGATTCATCCTGAAAATTATTAATGATTACTTAACAAACGGAATGAACTTATGATAGCTTTGTAATCACAGAAAGAAAACTCTGCTAAAGTATTTTAATTCTGGATAGATCAGTTATCCGAATATCATATGACCATTGCATATTTTAAGTTACATATTGATTACCCCCTTTTAACCATTTAACCACCTATTTATACGTAGCGAGCTACGTGAAGTTTTCTCTTTTCTTCTATAAACTTTATGATTGCATCTTTTTTTCCAATATCCCTCTACCTGCACTCTACATTTAGAATTTACACCCCAATAATATATTAAGTTTATATTAACTTTGAGCTTTGAATGTGCGTTTAATTTAGCGTCCTCTCATGAGACCCAGTATTTTTAAAAGCAACTGTAATAAGTGTTTTATTCACCAGTTCATGCCTGACGACTTGGGAAAACCATGAAACTTTAAGTTGCACAACAAACATAGGTATATGTGTATTTATTAATATATACTTCTTAGTCATAATTACATTGAGCATTATTTTGGTTACACCTTTTATTAAATTAAGTAAATATTTATTCGCTTATTTGTGTATGCACGATAACGCACGCGTATACAGTTGCTAATATTTAATTATCTGGTTTATATCGACACTTATATCTATATGTTGATTTGTTAGGAAGGAGGCTTCTTGTTGTTATCGGCCTGGGAGGAGGCGATCTCAGTGTACGGCACCTTTGGAGAGTGCCTGAAAATCATACCACGGGTTGGCTCAAGCCTTGTGAGTGAAATTGGGTAGACGGAACATTTGGGGGCCGTTGATAGCTGTGCTAGCACGAAGTCACAAGTCATCGTGACAGAGGGTTTGAGTGTGCTGGCTTTGTTCAGATTGTGGATCACGCTAGATAACATACTCTCTCCCAGAAAGTGTAACTAGGATCTGCTCAGCATAGTTGCAGTATAAACCACAGATTCCACAGATTTGACTCTATGGGTGCTGAAAAAACAAAAATGTGCCTGAACGAGCGTCTGCAATAGGGATTGGCTAGCCGCCCTAGTAGACGGATATCCTCGAATACGTGTGGCCAGCTATCTATCTCTCTCTCTCTCTCTCTCTCTCTCTCTATATATATATATATATATATATATATATATATATATATATATATATATTACGTGTGTGTGTGTGTATGTATGTATAATTACAAATAAAGAACTTTATCAAATAATAGAAACTACATCAAATGAAAACTTTCAGCAATACTTAACAACGAAAATGGTTAGCACATGTAACTCGAGGAGAAAATAATGACATAACCATGGTGTTAGTGTTCCACACTGTTCCAAACAAAAGGTTAGGAAGGAAACCTTCATCAATACTGGAAAGAGCGATAACAGTTACTGGACTCAAGAAACCTATTTTCCTGAAAAATTGTCTTAATCGTAAGATTTTATAAATTTCAACCAAAAGTAGTACTGGCTGCTCGGTCAATAAATGCTGAATGTTTCCTTATAAGGTATCGGCTAATATTACCATTACCACTGGAGTTGTTCTTGCAGGTTTTTGATATTTCTAGCGGCATCTGACTGTCCATCCTATTAGCAGCCGCTTTCTGATTCACCATATACCCCAACCGCCATTTTGTTCGCAAACAGCTTTCACGTAAAGGTTAAGTTCACATTGGATGTGACGGGCGAGTGTTTAGTTGTTTAGCTAGGCGTCAGCTGTTTGTTTGGAATGAAACAGAAACCTGAGTTCTATTTAATCTTCAAAAATGGGATGAGATTAGTGAGAAACCGGCCTATAGTTTTCCGCCCGCCATTCTCTGTATGATTTATATTTGATGTGGAGGTGTTCAGCACATCTGTGCTGTGTATGCATAAGAAGAGTGATAAAATAAGGTATCCTAGAGACAAAGAAACAAGTAAGGGTGAGAAACAGAGTGATAATAAGAAGGGGAAAAAGGAGGGCGATCAAAGAAAAAGATAAAAGAAAGAAACAAATAAGCCAACAACAAAGGAGATAGATAGATAGATAGATAGATAGATAGATAGATAGATAGAGAGAGAGAGAGAGAGGATAAAGGAAAACAGGAAGATGGAAAAAAGAAAAAAGAAACAATTAAAGCCGAAGAGAAAGAGAGGATAAGAGAATAAGAGAGAAAGGAAGATAAAATCGAATAAAGGACTAGGGTGAGGAAACACGTGAGAAAAAAGGAATTTGTTGGAGGTGGAGTAAAATTAGAGACAATTAGAATAAAGAGATGAAGATTGAAAGAGTGAGATATAGACGGAGAGGGAGTGTTAAAAAAGAAAGAAAAGAAGATGGCAAAAGAAAAGATATAGAAAAGAGAAGTGTATTTGTATTGTGTGAAAGAGAGAGAGGGGGGACAAATAGAAAGTGCGAGAGAGGAAGAAACAAAAGAGATAAAAAAAAAGATATATATAAAAGGTGTGTGTTTGAAATAGACAGACAGACAGAGAAAGTGTGAGAGAGAAAGAAACGAAGATATATATATATATATATATATATATATATATATATATATATATATATATATATATATATATATATGTATATATATATATATATATATATATATATAGTGTAAGAGACAAGGAAACGAAGGAGAAAAAGAAAGATATATGAAGAGAATGAGAAAGAGAGAATATGTGTGCGTGTGTGAAATGCAGGAAGAGAGAGAGAGAGAAGATGTAAACAGGAAGAAAAACTATAGAAAAGAATAAAGCACAGAATAAAAGACAGAAAGTGTAACTGCGAGACGACGTGAAAGAACAATTTAGGGAGAAAAAGATGAATGAGAGCGAAACAAAAGCAGCAGAAAGAACAAGAGATCCAAGAAAGAGAATAAGAAATACAATATATATATATATATATATATATATATAGAGAGAGAGAGAGAGAGAGACAGACAGACAGACAGAGAAAGAGAGAGAGAGAGTTCGCCATTAAAATGTATACACAATTCAGGAAAGGAAAAACTTGTCTTTCGTAGTTTTATCAAACTGCAATATCACTGTTTAGTTTAGTACGGTATTGTTTCTGCATTGGCGGCCCTTAAACCAGATATTGAAAATACATCTGCAGCAATCCCACTGCACACTTTAGCCAACGTTGACCAAGCATTAGTTTGCCGTACTAATAAATGTCTGAAAGCTAAAGGCCACCATTTTGAGCATCTCTTGTGATTGTAACACGGTAACTTGTATTAATCTCGTGATGTCTTAATAAATTTAGTATTACAATATCTATACAAGTTTTTCCTTTCCTGAAATGTGTACGTATTTGTGAACGGATTCTCTCTATATAAACACACACACACACACACACACACACACACACACACACACACACACATATATATATATATATATATATATATATATATATATGAATTCATTATATATATATATGAAATCATTATATATATATATGAATTCATTCAAAGAACATTGACGGGGACATATGCAATCTTTCAATAGTAGTAATTATAAGTACAAGATTTCATTATCCAAGTATTTTTGGAGTTTAAAGGAGAAAAACAAGACACCTACTGTTAAAAAGAAATTAATCAAGAGAACTCGAACATGTAATTCCCTATATGCCCCTTGTTATCTATGTCTTAACGAAAAATTTGAAATAATTAGATTTAAAAAATATATATATATATATATATATATATATATATATATATATATACTTTCCGCCTGTGGAACCCACTTCTGTTTCCTTGCTTGTCTAATAACTACAATCTCCAAAAATTTAAATGCAACCTCAGCCGCTATCTTCTATTTTTCCTCGGCCTCCATATACACAGTCTTTTTTCTCACCTTCACTTTCTATAACTCGCTTACGAACTAGTGGCATTTCCGCCTTGTTTGTGGTGAAATGATTATATATATATATATATATATATATATATATATATATATATATATATATATATGATTCATCGACATAAAAAAATAAACCCAAAACCTAAGAAAAGGTACATATAAACCATACAGAAAACCCACTGATAAACGCCTGTATATACACATATTATTCAACCACCTACCATCTATAATCAAGCAGATACCTCAATCAATTAACCGCAGGCTTTCCGACAATTCAAACAGCTAAGCTTATAAAAGATAACAACACATCAAAACTACAAAGAACCAATATTATGCCCCTTACGGAATTGTGTTCCTGATCAAACCAAACTCACAAATAATTATATTGGTCATACTACTGCATGCCTATCTAGACGTCTACAGTTACACATACCCGACCATTGCTCAATTAGGGCTCATTTAAACACACGCTGAAACTTACCAAATCCCACCCGAAACATACTAATAGAAAATACAAGTATAATAGCCTCATCCACATGTAGAAAAAAGATTTAAAATAATGGTAAACCTAATAATAAAAAAGAGAAAATTCAACACTCAATAAAATTAACTCCGAACACGGGTATAATCTGCTGACTGTGTTTGAAAAATAAAATATTCTTATAACTTAAGACACATACATAAAAAACCGACACATTGAGTTAAAAATAAAATTAAAAAAATGAAAATCGTCCTTGATAATGGTTAAATGAATAGCTGAAAACGATCGGATATGCAGAACGTTCGGAGAGTTTTTACACACTTTGTATCCAGAAAAGAAAACACTTGTACGAACACAAGAAAAACTAAATAAAAAGCTTTATCGCAGTACTCTGTTAGTCGTCTTTAATGAAACTTATATATATATATGTGTGTGTGTGTGTGTGCGTGTGTGTGTGTGTTAAACAATAAAAATATTAACAAATTAAAAAATAAAAATTTTCAGATAAAAAATAAACATTTTCAGATACACACTACATGAAATGATATTAATATTTGTTTGTTTTATTATTTCGATTAGGTTCCTCGACTAGGTTCGCCCAGTATGGCCATCATCAGGGGAAAATAAAATCACTGCTTGTTAGTAGCAGTGAACTACAGGAGTGAATCACTGTCTCTGAAGAAAGTGAACTTTATCTGCAGTTTTCATTTGTTTTGTTTATTTTTTGGGGTTTTTTTTTGTTTTGTTTTTTTATCGTTAATTTTGGTCAGCCCTTGTGTTGATTAAACGGTATCTTTTAAGTTGTTTTTAAGATAGATGATGGGAGATTTCTGACTCTCAGAATCCCCTCCTTGGTCATTTTGATGGTTTTATTGGTTGCTGGGAATGGGATGTGTGTGTTACGTGTATGTTACCCTTTAGTTTCTTGTGTGTGTGTATCATGGGCTTATATATTAATTCTATGTGTTGTTAAATTTGTGGTTAACTCCGTTCACGTTCCTCTAGTATTTTTCTAACGTTATCTTTTCTGTCTATTTCTATTTTTTCAATTATAGTGAATTTTGCATGGCTTTTAAAATCATGTTTTTCTAGAGGGAAATGTTGTTCTATAGGAAATAATCTTTGGAGGGGAGCCGACTTGATCCGATAATTATTAATTCTGTAATAAAAGGTCCATTCAGATTTTCCTACATATTTTTTCTGAAATAGTGTGAATTCTAATAGATAAATTATGTTATGACTTCTACAGTTAGATTTTGAAAATAGATTTAGTGACTGGGCTAGTGAACGAATTGGTAGGAATGTCCAATGTGGTTACAACATAGGCTCCTTTTGTTGTTACATGGTTTGGAAAATCCTGTTGTTTTTATTTTTGGTCGATTACGGGTTAACTTATCATCTGAAATTTGGTTACTACCTATTATTTACTTAAGGTTCTTAGGTCTACGATATACCAGAATACCGGCTTCCTCAAACAAAGTTCCTAGCTCCGGTTTGAGAATTAGTATTTCCCAGCGAGTTTTGATTATCTGAGATAGTGACGGAAGAGTAGTGCTGAAATTTACTAGAGGGCTGCATCTGGATTTATTTTTATACATTAGGGTGTCTTACATTATGGTGTCTAATTTTTATACATTAGGACGCCTTACATTATGGTGTCTAATTTTTATACATTAGGGCGTCTTACATTATGGTGTCTAATTTTTATACATTAGGACGCCTTACATTATGGTGTCTAATTTTTATACATTAGGACGCTTACTTATGGTGTCTAATTTTTTTATAGGGCGTCTTACATTATGGTGTCTTTTTATACATTAGGGCGTCTTACATTATGGTGTCTAATTTTTATACATTAGGACGCCTTACATTATGGTGTCTAATTTTTATACATTAGGACGCCTTACATTATGGTGTCTAATTTTTATACATTAGGGCGTCTTACATTATGGTGTCTAATTTTTATACATTAGGGCGTCTTACATTCTAATTTTTTTATACATTAGGACGCCTTACATTATGGTGTCTAATTTTTTATACATTAGGGCGGGCGTCATTACATTATGGTGTCTAATTTTTTACATTAGGGCGTCTTACATTTGGTGTCTAATTTTTATACATTAGGACGCCTTACATTATAGTGTCTAATTTTTTATACATTAGGGCGTCTTACATTATGGTGTCTAATTTTTTTTTTAGGACGCCTTACATTATGGTGTCTAATTTTTTATACATTAGGGCGTCTTACATTATGGTGTCTAATTTTTATACATTAGGACGCCTTACATTATGGTGTCTAATTTTTATACATTAGGGCGTCTTACATTATGGTGTCTAATTTTTATACATTAGGACGCCTTACATTATGGTGTCTAATTTTTATACATTAGGGCGTCTTACATTATGGTGTCTAATTTTTATACATTAGGACGCCTTACATTATGGTGTCTAAATTTTTTTAGGGCGTCTTACATTAGTGTCTAATTTTTTTTTATACATTAGGACGCCTTACATTATGGTGTCTAATTTTTTTATACATTAGGGCGTCTTACATTATGGTGTCTAATTTTTTATACATTAGGACGTCTTACATTATGGTGTCTAATTTTTTTATACATTAGGACGCCTTACATTATAGTGTCTAATTTTTATACATTAGGGCGTCTTACATTATGTCTAATTTTTTATACATTGTCTTAATTTTTCTAATTTTTTATACATTAGGACATTATGGTGTCTAATTTTTATACATTAGGGCGTCTTACATTATGGTGTCTAATTTTTTATACATTAGGACGCCTTACATTATAATGTCTAATTTTTATACATTATGATGGTGTCTTACATTAGGACGCCTTACATTATGGTGTCTAATTTTTATACATTAGGACGCCTTACATTATAGTGTCTAATTTTTTTATACATTAGGGCGTCTTACATTATGGTGTCTAATTTTTTTATACATTAGGACGCCTTACATTATGGTGTCTAATTTTTTATACATTAGGGCGTCTTACATTATGGTGTTATTTTTGGTAGGACGTCTTACATTATGGTGTCTAATTTTTATACATTAGGGCGTCTTACATTATGGTGTCTAATTTTTATACATTAGGACGCCTTACATTATGGTGTCTAATTTTTATACATTAGGGCGTCTTACATTATGGTGTCTAATTTTTATACATTAGGACGCCTTACATTATAGTGTCTAATTTTTATGGTGTCTTCATTATGGTGTCTAATTTTTATACATTAGGACGCCTTACATTAGGGTGTCTAATTTTTTATACATTAGGGCGTCTTACATTATGGTGTCTAATTTTATACATTAGGACGCCTTACATTATGGTGTCTAATTTTTTTATACATTAGGGCGTCTTACATTATGGTGTCTAATTTTTATACATTAGGACGCCTTACATTATGGTGTCTAATTTTTTATACATTAGGGCGTCTTCTTATGGTGTCTATTTTTATACATTAGGACGTCATTAATTTTTATACATTAGGGCGTCTTACATTATGGTGTCTAATTTTTATACATTAGGACGCCTTACATTATGGTGTCTAATTTTTATACATTAGGGCGTCTTACATTATGGTGTCTAATTTTTATACATTAGGACGCCTTACATTATGGTGTCTAAATTTTATACATTAGGGCGTCTTACATTATGGTGTCTAATTTTTATACATTAGGACGCCTTACATTATGGTGTCTAATTTTTATCATTATTATGGTGTCTAATTTTTTATACATTAGGACGTCTTACATTATGGTGTCTAATTTTTATACATTAGGACTTACATTATAGTGTCTAATTTTTTATACATTAGGGCGTCTTACATTATAATTGTCTAATTTTTATACATTAGGACGCCTTACATTATGGTGTCTAATTTTTATACATTAGGACGCCTTACATTATGGTGTCTAATTTTTATACATTAGGGCGTCTTACATTATGGTGTCTAATTTTTATACATTAGGACGCCTTACATTATGGTGTCTAATTTTTTATACATTAGGGCGTCTTACATGATGGTGTCTAATTTTTTACATTAGGATACATTGTCTAATTTTTTTATACATTAGGACGCCTTACATTATGTGTCTAATTTTTATACATTAGGGCGTCTTACATTATGGTGTCTAATTTTTATACATTAGGACGCCTTACATTATGGTGTCTAATTTTTATACATTAGGGCGTCTTACATTATGGTGTCTAATTTTTTTTAGGACGCCTTACATTAGGGTCTAATTTTTATACATTAGGGCGTCTTACATTATGGTGTCTAATTTTTATACATTAGGGCGTCTTACATTATGGTGTCTAATTTTTATACATTAGGACGCCTTACATTATGGTGTCTAATTTTTATACATTAGGGCGTCTTACATTATGGTGTCTAATTTTTATACATTAGGGTGTCTTATGGGTGCTCAGTATCATGGATAGAGCGTACGTAAATATAAAAGTGGACATTGAAGTCAATACGCAGAGGTGAAAAAATCTCATTCTAAAGGATTTGTATCTCTAAACATTTAAAGCAAAGAACATAAAACGTGAAATAACTTTTTTTTTTAAAAGTCACTTATTTTCTTTCTCTTTTCGCCAGCTTCTGAAAAATATAAGATTTCGTTAACTTAAACACACAAAAATACAGACACACGTAACTCATTTTTTCGCCTTCGATCTAGTGAAGCCTAATCGGCGAAATGTATAGTCGGATGGTTTTTCGATACATTATACTTACATGAATGTTTTTCCAATTGTCAATAATTTTTAACTCTGTCGGGATCCTATGCCCAAATTTATCACATGTATATATTAAATGTCTACTTATATATATATATATATATATATGTATATATATATGATATTGATGATTGCCATTACATGATAATCATCAAAGATCCGCCTGATGATTGCCATTGAATGAAACTCGGTGTAGCGGATTTGGTATTATATTATATTTTATTATATTATATTATATTTAGGGTTTTTCGATTTTGGCATTGAACCATCAGTTTATATTATATTTTAAGCTCTTAGTTTTTTTTAAGCTTTTGTTCTATCTATCCATATATATATATATATATATATATATATATATAGATATAGATATAGATATAGATAGATAGATAGATAGATAGATAGATAGATAGATAATATTAGTGGTTAATATACACATACACATGCAATCATATATCTAAAATATATAAATATATATACATACACATACATATATATTTGTATAAAAAATAATTCTAAGAGGATAGAATCCAGGTAGAACTCAATGTCAAGGGCAGAGTAAGGATATAATAAAATATTAGTGCTTAAGCCTTTTTTATTATATATATATATATATATATATATATATATATATATATATATATATATAGGGTGATTGAAGTTAACTCCCTATTTTATGTATGATAGACTCTCCAGTCTTGTAAAAATTATAGACAGGAGAGTCCATCATACATAAAATATGGAGTCACTTTTCAATCACCTATATATATATATATATATATATATATATATATATATATATGTATATATAGTGTCAGTTTAGGGGTTATAGCTATAATTGGTTCGAGGAGTATTAGCTATAAATGACTTGACTATGTGTTAGCATAAAGATCACCTTATTCCCCAACTTCCTCAGCGGTCCTTGTGCTACATTCTGGAAATTTTCGGAATAAAAATCGCTACTCGACATCGTTTATTATCCGAAGATAAGTTAAGGGTCACGCAGACATTTGTACCAAAACAAATGCGAGGCATTTATATCTGGGGTGAGGAAGGAGTGTTTTGCCTGTCGGTAGCTTGAAAGAAACAAAGAAAAGACTTCAAGGAAGATGGAGAGTATAGGAGGAAGCATATATCTTTTCGCTCTGCACATGCCAAGAAATTTAGAAGATACTAGAATAATAGAGACAGAAAGAGAGAATGGAAGAAGGACGGAGATAGAATGCGTAGGAGAAAATGGAATTTGAGAGAGTTGGAGTAAGATTAGAGAGAATTAGAATAAAAGATGAGGACATATAGAAAGAGAGAAAATCAAAGGAATAATAAAAAACAGGGCGAGAGAAAGAGAAAAAAAGATAGAAAAAGTTTGTGTGTGAAAGTGAGAGAGAGAAAGAGTAAGTGAGAGAGGAACAGAAGTTTTGTAGGAGTAAGGGAGTACAAAAATTTTCCATAATTTTTATTGTCCCAAGAGCTTTCGGCCACTTCTATAGCCATTTTCAAGGGTTTTTGTCTTTGGTGTAGGTATTATTATTTTCACATGTTTTGACTGTTACGTTGTAATTTATTTTTGCATTGTTTTGAATAGAAGCCTTCACGAGTTGCGCACTGCCGGAATTCCTGCGAACATCTATCTATCTATCTATCTATATATATATATATATATATATATATATATATATATATATATTGTATTGATTATATTGTATCAATAATAACAGGTAAATATATATATATATATATATATATATATATATATATATATGATAAAAATATAGTTTTAAAGTCTGCTATATTTATAAGTGCTCAGTATCAGAAATAGAGCGTATGTACATATAATATATGACAGTGGACAGTGAGGCGGCAGCTAGATTCATGTTTAAACGCAATCGTCAGGCTATGACGATTGCGTTTAAGTATGAATCAAAGCTTCTGATAAAGCCAAAGTGTATTTTACTTAGTGTGTGTGTGCGTTCGTGCATGTGTTTGTATGTGCGCGTGTGTGTGTGTGTGTGTGCAAGAGAGGCTTAAAGTCATCGTCCATTTCGCTTCTCTCTGTAGGCGATTAGTCTATTGAGAAGATAGAGACACGACACAGATCTTAAAACACTTTCATAGTTATACTTTATTTGTAGTATTGACATAGGCACTATTACTGAACGCACACACGCACATACACCACACACACACTCACGTGAACACACATACGCACTCTCTCACATGCCCACGCACACACACACACGCACACACACAAATCAGGGTGTTTGAAAAATTCTCGACTCGACCATGAATCACTTGCCAAAAGACTAGTTTGGTCATTACGTCAGATTTTGTGAAGTGCATCATGCCGAGAACTGATATGCCTTTAAGCATATCTATCTATCTCTCTTTCTCTCTCCCTCTCTCTCTCTCTACACACACACACACACGCACACACACACAATCGCACACACATACACCTACACGCGCGCGCGCACACACACACACATATATATATATATATATATATATATATATATATGTGAAAATATATAGAAAATAGGAAGGAATTGGTTAGGTAAAAAATCCAAAGTCCCTTAGTATTTTAGTTATTATTTTTAAAAAATAGTGCTCGATACAAAAGTAGAGCATAAATATAATTATTTATTTAAAAATATAATTATTTATTTAAAAATTTGGAATCATATTTTTAAATAAATAATTATATATATATATATATATATATATATATATATAATCTGAAGCAACAGCAGCCTGAACTATGACACCTGTTGGTTTCTGATGCTTGAAATCTGTTCCAGAGTGAAAAACCCATAATCCGATCAAACGAAGACTTTGTCTGCGGCACGCTGCATCTTCTTCAACATTTTCTTCTATATGCCAAGTCGTCTTAGCTTGGGGGACACTTGAGAGCAACTGTAGTCGTTGAATCTTGTAATGTTTTATCCCTTAAATCCTCCTTAGCGACCTTTCTGAAATATCCAGCTCTTTTGCCATCTTTCCCCTGCTTCTTCGTGCATTTCTCTGTAATCTTTTCTTGACGGTTTCAATAATTTTCCTGGTACAAACTGAACGGTTTCTTCATGGAAATGGATTTGATGAGGTTGTTTGCTCCTACTGAAACATTTTTTTTTGTTTTTCTACAAATATTAAACTTTCTTCATACCAGCCATTTTCACTGCGACAAATTTATCCCGTTTTGCTTGAGCCGCCATATGTTATTAAACTATAAACAATAAATCAAAAACCTGTCAAGAAGACTTATACAACATTTGGAACTGTTTTTACGAATGTTTCAATTTACGTTTAATTAATGAATAAATAATTATGTCGCACTCGGTAATCATTAAATGTTTTGTTCTATAATAACAACCCCGAGAGAGCTAATTAACAGATTTATCACAGTTCGAAAAGTAGAAACGAAACAAAAGGCAAGACAATAATTGTATGAAACACACACACACACACAAACTCACAATATTAAACTGAATACAAGGTTAAAAAGATGTTGCAAGTGACTGAAAATAAAAGGTGTTCATACTAAGAATAATTTAGGTATGCATACCTGCAAGCAAAACAGTAATTAAAAAGAACGGTTTCTCCCTTGACACCTCCATCACTGTAGGCTTCTTCGACAATTTTTATAGCGTTGAAATATTTTTTTCTGAGAAGTGACAGCAAAAATGTTAAACAATATTCTTTTAAATAAGCGGTTTAATAAATAAATATTTTCTAACACATTTGTTGTCAGTTCTCAATAAAAATAAAGTATATATCATAATAGTCGCAAACTATTTTAGCGAATTTATCTGTCTGAAGCAAATGAAAGATCGGCAAATACTTTTTTTCTCAAAATCTATACTTACAGTCATTCGTAGTTATGTGTCTATTTGAATGTTCTTGTTCTCTTATTCACAGACGTCTTTATAAATATGAGTATAAAATATTTGTTTTAATAGTTATTTCTTTATATGTTAAATGATAAATATTGCGTTGTAGATAGTTCACATATATTTATAAAATTTTAAATATAATATTATTCTTATAAAAAAAACAATCTAATAAAATAAATAACGTTTCATTATTTGCTGCCAATTCTTGAGAGAAAAGAGAATGCATAAATTCAGTTTCATTTGCTTGGGTTGTTCCTTAAAATCTAAAAATAACTTTCTAAAACAATACTACTTGCCGAGGAGGTATACAGAAATAACGGCGTCAATGGGAAAAACATCCCTTTGACATATAATCTTTTGCAGGTACGAACGTTATCTTCTACCGAAATATATATATATATATATATATATATATGAAGAATTAGCAATCGCAAGAGATCTAAACTGGATCGAAGGAAAGACATGTCGTTCGAATAACATCCACACAGTAACAATTACCAAGGAGCCTAATTCTTAGACATTCATAGCGGTGTATATAGTAACGGCAAGTGTATCAAATTTATCTATCTATTAATTTTTCTCCACACACACACACACACATATATATATATATATATATATATATATATATATATATATATATATATATATATATATAAATTGTAAGAATAAAAGCTAATGCATAAAATATATAAGTGAGGGCTCAATGCCAAATTCGTTTATTATTTCCGGCTGATGAATGTTATCACATGAAACTCTGAGTAGCGGATTTTGGTATTACTGAATTCATATATATATATATATATATATATATATATATATATATATATATATATATATATATGTGTGTGTGTGTGTGTGTGTGTGTAATTTCTCTTATCTGTCTACTCCTTGGCTATCATTACATACACACAGATTTCCCTGGAAGTGTCGTCTTATCTATCAAGCTCGTCCTATCAAATGGGTCTATCATGGTCATCGTTAATGAAGCATATGAGATCAATTCTAGCGTCTCCCAAGACTCTCTTTTCGGTCCTCACCTCTTTTTGCTTTGTATTGGCGATCCGACTAAAAACATTCTCAATTTATTAGTAAGTATACGTACAGGTGATTCCACAGTGGTGTACCTTCAAAAATTTAGATGACCGAAGCATGATAGCTGATCTCTAGTCTGACCGAGCTCTAACAGCTCAATATTTATTCATCATCATCATCATCATCATCATCAGTCCCTTCAACCATCGGGACGGGGCGAGGCTGGGCGTGGCGATGCTGATGACAGAAGAAACAGACTTTGAATGTTCTTCTTAATGATTCTTCAGTGTGAGTTCAGCTACCTTGACGGTGCCCATCTCCTCTCCAAGCACTTGACCGACAAACGAAGACCACGGAATATAGTGTAGGTCGTACACTAGGCCCTAGTTGTCATTCTCCGAGACCAGAGGCTCTAGTACTCAGTCTGTCCTGCTATTTTAACCATAGCTCAGGGAGAAGAGATGAATTCATCAGTATGCAAGTGAAGGTAATAAACTCGAATGGAATTCGAAATCGGCTCTCCGATTCCTCAGTCCGATCCGCTATCCATTACTCTACCGTACCGCCTATTTATCCTACATATCCTCATAATATAAACGTTTTACTTCAACCTTTTACGCCCTTACAAAAAGCTTATTCAATAATCGTCTACTTTAAATGGCTCTGAGAAATAAAAGCTAAGAAAGTTGGTTCACTATATCGTGCGAGACCATTTTTCACGACAGAATATAGCTTACTCATCTATAAGTCTACTATTCGTCCTTGCTTCTACCACATCTGGTCTGGTGCTTCTGCTATGTATTTAGAGATTCTTGATAAAATCGAGAGAAGAATATGCAATTTTATTGGTCATGATCTGGCATCTCGGTTTCAGTCGCATTCCTACCGTCATAACGTATCATCCTTGTGCTTTTTCTATCAATATTTTCATGGTAATTGTTCTGATGAACTTTCCTCTCTGGTAACTAGACTTTAAACGTAGTACTACATTGGTAACAAGGTTTCATCATTTTACAGTTGAAGTGGCGAAATGTAACTGTAAGTTCTATGCTAACGGTTCTTTTCTCACACTTCTCACCTGTGGGACTCTCTTCCGGCTTCTTGCTTTCTATTCAACTTTTATGTTCAAAAATTAAAATACAATGTCAATCGTTATCTTCTGAAGTCTTGTCCTTTTATTGTCCTCTCTCCGTAATAGTAGTGTTTTTCATATTCTCTAACATTCAGTAACCCTTTGTGTTTTAGTGGCTGTATTTCCTTGCTTGGGGTGAAATGATTAAAAAAAAATTAAATAAATGGCATAAAAATACCTTACATAAATAATATAACTCATAGATCAGGCCTAAAATGGAGTTAGTTAAGTTGAGCGATAATGTTTCGATACATTACTGATTTTTCCCGCAGTAAGCCATTTCTTTTTACGGTAGACTGGTTGCCAACCAAGGCTAAAGGACACAGTCTGTCTTGCTATTCAACCCATAGCTGGGAGGAGAAGAGACGTATTCATCCCTTTTCCAAGTGTATTTGTACGTTAGTGAATATAACGAACTTGACTGGGATTCGAACACCGAGCCAATATCAATTACACCACAACACACATGCGTAGTACTGGAGTACTGCTGTCATATTTGGGCAGGAACCGCCCAGCCCTCACTCTTCAGTCTCGATAAAGTCTAAAAGCGTCTCCGTGACAAATTATTTTCCACCCTGCAACCCCTTTCCTCACAGACGAAACGTCGTAAGCCTCTCACTGCTCTATCGTTATTTTTTTAATCGAGTTCACTCCAAGCAAGACAGTGAAGCCACTAAGACACAAGGGTTTACTGGGTGTGGAAGAATTAGAAAACAAATATTTCTAAGGACCGAGAACAAAAGAAGACTAATGAGGAAGATAGCAGATAGCGATTGACATTGCAATTTAAATTTTTAAAGATTAAAGTTGATTGGAAAGCATGGAGCCGGAAGAGAGTTTCACAGGTGAAAAGTGCAAGAAAAGAAACTGTTAGCATAAAACTTACAGTTACATCTAGTCAACTCAACTGTGAATTGATGAGACCTAGTAGCCAATCTAGTACTGCGTTTAAATTTATAAAGTCTAGGTACCGTAGCGAAGAGCTCACCCGAACAGTTGCCGTGAGAGTATTTATAGAAAAAGCACAGGGAGACTACTTTACGGCGGTGGGAAAATGACTGAAGCCGAGATGCCAGATCAGGACCGATAATATTGTTGATTCTTCTTTGGATTTTATCAAGGATCTCTAGATATATAGCTGGATCATTGGACTATATGTGGCAGCAATATTATAAGCATGGATGAATGGTAGACTTATAGATATTTAAGATAGATTCGTGAGAGACAAAATGTCTAGCACAACACGGTGAGCCAACTTTCTTAGCAGATGACCTAACAATGAATTCAATATAATCTTTCCACTTCATGTCAGCTGAGAACGTTAGCCCGAGAAGGCGCAACAGGTCATTCTCCTGGAGGTTAGCATCAGCCATGCTGATGGAGGGCAGAAAGGGGTCCCTCAGAAGTTTAATAGAGAGCAGTTTAGTTTTGAAGGTGTTAAAATTAACAAGCTATCCTTTGCCCCAAGTTAACAACAGACAGTAGGTCGTTTTTGCCCTCAGCCGCCAATTTAACCTCTTCGGACTGATCAGACTTACGATCGAGACTGGAGGAAATGTTTGTGTCATCAGTATAGATACAAAGTTGGAAGCTGATACCATTGGGAAGGTCGTTAATGAAAATAAGAAATACTAGATAGGACCAAGGATAGAGCTCTGTTTTTTTGTTATTTTTTGTTTTGTTTTTTGTTTTTTGCCATGGAAAGTACTCAGACGAACTACATTCTTTAGTTCTACCAGTTCTAACCTTTACGGCTAGGACCCGCCATGCTACGCGCATTGTATTGAATCACCCTTATCCTCTTCACATTGGTGAGAAGTAAGTTCCACTCGAGCAGCTTCTTCCCACGAACCACTGCTCTGTGGAACCGACTCCCAAGGGGATGCTTCCTAAATCACTACAATCTTAACTTATTCAAGTCCAGCGTTAACTGTTATCTTCCCCATATATCCGCATAAACTGTGCCTCTTGCTCGGTCACCCTCTACCTCGAGTGGCACCCGGCCCTTGTACAGGCTGAACCTCACTATAAAAAATAATCTTTTTATATAAATAATTTCTTCTTTCACATCGCCATATTGCAAGAAAATGATGAAAGAAAGTTTATTAATAAAATCATTGTATAATTTATGTTAGAATAATGCGTAATCTAACTTGCTTACAAAGAAAAAAATATATTTGTGGGGGGGGTAACACGCAATGTATATTTGTATTTGTAGTTAGTCATTAAATAAATGACCTTTGTTTGCTAAGTTTTTCGGAATGTCAGTCAGCGATCACCTTCGGGGCAGGCAGCATATTTGGCATTGTTGCGAAGGAAAGAGGATTGGTCGCGTCTGGTAACCATGGCAATGTTAAGCATCGCCGTGCCAATTCCACAGACATCGGAAATATCAATTGCAAAGAGAGATAGAGAAAAAGATACAAAGACACACAGACACACGTGAATAGATAGATAGATAGATAGAAGCAGAGAAAACGCCATTTTCTCTTGACTCTGTGTTTGCACGCGTATACTTTCAAATACTTGTTTGTCCTTATGTAATATCTTTATAATAAATAAGTATTGCTCTACTCTTGGTATATATATATATTTTTTTCCAAGCATAACTTAGATGTGGCACAAGATGGAAAGTATGGGGCACGCAGTGAGAATCGAACTCACTATTCAATCGTAACTGTTTTAGCGAGACATGCTTGCTAACCATTTAACTCTAAACTTGAACAGGTTAAGATTGTAGTGATCAGGGAAACATCCTCTTGGGAGTCGGTTCCACAGGACAGTAGTGCGCGAGAAGAAGCTGTTTGAGAGGAACTTATTTCACGCCAATGGAATACAGAGGGAATGTGGGTGGTTTACTATAAGGTAGGTGTCATCGCAGGTTCCTAGGCCTGAAGGTTAGACCAGGCAGAACCAAGTAATATAGTCCGTCCAAGCACTTTCCATGTTAATAGCGATAGAGCAGTGAGAGATTCGCCATATCTCGCCTCTGAGGTAGAGATTTGAGGGTGGAAATAATTTACATATTCGTGTACAATTACACACATATACTAACAATTATTAAGGTGCCACTTAAACGTACGAGAATTCTAATTTTTAAGAAATACATACTTTTCACCGTTTTCTTCGAAGTCGCCCTCTTGCGCATGGACACAAAAATCACAGAGGTTTTCCTAACATTCCACACAGGGAATATCATTTTTTTTTTATTCGGCCTGCATGTGCTGTTCAAATTCCTCAAACATATGGGAAGCCACCCCCACCCCTGTATAAATTCCCACGTATATCGAAGTTGGGAAATTGGTTTCAGGAGCGATTGCTCGTGAGTTAAAAAGTTACTCAGAATTTAAAGGCACAGTCGGCAGTTCCTAGACTAATACGTCGAATGCTTCCCTTACAGAGATGTAAGAGCCTTCCCCTATAAATGGGGGATGCCTGGTGAATGAATAATTGCAAACTCAGTTACGTACGACCAACGACTGTCTATAGATTCAAGTATAAAAGAAAAAAAAAGTTTAAACGGCAGGTCTACTCAAATACGAGTATCCAGTAAAAATAACGTCTGAAGTAATACAAATATGTGGGATTAAAAAAATAAATCCATTAATTCTTGAGAAATTGCATTGTTTACATTTCGAATACGAAACTAAGTAGATATGACTTCCGAAAAATCTGAACAGGCGAATGTGTTTTAATGCAAATAGAAACTTCCTTGACTTTGAAGCTCTCCGTAGCCTAGTGGTCATAGCACGCCAGATCAGACAGTGGTTTCTCCTGTAAAGGGGGACGTAGATTCGAATCCTTCCGGGGAACATAATGTCTATTAAGTTTTTTCGAATGAGTCGGCCGATATACGAAATAAACACTGTTTAAATAAACGAAGCAAATACGAGTACCCACTAAAAATAACGTTTGAAGTGATAAAATTATATACTCGAGTATCAGCAAAACACGACTAAAGTTTACATATCGATTCAAGTATAAATGCAACAAGGGTTTACCTATAGACTCAAGTATAAATCATACTAATCTTTATTTATATACTCATATATAAACATGATGCATATGCATATCTAGAGACTCAAATATAATCCCTACAAATGTTTATTTGTAACCTCAAGTTTAACAACAACCAATGATCACCAATAGACTCAAGTATAAACGCGACGAACGGTTGCCTATAAACTCGAGTATAAACATAACATTTTTCTATGGGCTCAACTATAAACACAGCCAATGTTTATTTATAGACTCAAGTATAAACACTACTAATCTTTGTCTATAGACTCAAGTATAAACACGACTAATGTTTGTCTATAGCAGTGGTTTTCAACCAGGGTTCCGTGGAACCCTAGCGTTCCGCCAGTAAAGCCCAGGGGTTCCGCAAGAAGTTACACAAGTACTACGATTGACAGTAATTTTTAATTCTCCTGTGCAGATATGTGTGTTTGGACACTTTGTTAATAAATCTTGATAAATATTTTCCATCGATATCTGTCGACCAGTATGACTGGCTTAGAAGCCCATTTGTGGAATTTGAGCCATCTGAAGAACAGTTTATATTAACAGAAGAAAAAGAACTTGCCAGTGTTTCATTTGACAGAAAATTAAAATTGAAGCATTCTGAGCTTAGCCTGGATACATTCTGGTAGCTGTTTAAAAAGGAATATCCTGCAATTACCCAGAAAGCACTGCGCCTTCTCATGCAGTTTTCAACATCCTCCTTGTGTGAATTTGGATTTTCAGCTCTGACAACCATCAAGCACAAGAAGCGAGCACAATTGCTGTCTGTGGAAGATGAACTTCGTGTGTGTCTGTCAAAAACACGACACAATATTAAAGATTTGTACAAGAAACATCAGGCTCAAGTTTCTCATTGAATTTTTAATGAAAATAAATGTAATCCATTTAAACTGAAGTTTTTTAATACATGTGTAATAACCATAGAAGCAAGATTAAAATTGCATATGGACGTATACAATATTTTTACAGTTTGTCTTTGTATATTTTTGTAAAAAAATCTGAAGATGAGTATTTTTATTTTATTTTAATAATTGAAAGGTTTTTTTTTGCATAAGACAATTAATTTATTGCAGGGGTTCCTTGAGCCACTGGAATGTTTCCTTGTGGTTCCGCTACAGCAAAAAGGTTGAAAACCACTGGTCTATAGACTCAAGTGTAAACACGACAATTTTTATCTATAGACGCGAGAATAAATTTGATTTACCCACAGAATGATGTACAAACACAACCAAAGATATTGACTCAAGTATAAACCTGACCAATGTTTATCTATAGACTCGAGTATAAACCTGATCAATGTTTACCTACAGACGCAAGTATGAATTCGACTAATGCTTACTTATAGACTCGAGTATAATCTCAACTAATGATTATATATAGATTCAGGTATAAACCCTAGAAATGTTTATTTATACACTTAAGTATAACAGCGACCAGTGTTTATCTATAGACTCAAGTATAAACATAGCTAACAGATTCAAGTTTAAACGTGACGAATGTTTGCCTACAGACTCAAACCTAAAGACGACCAGATTTCAGACATTACTCATGGGATGAACAGATAGTATATATTTCTATCATTTGAGCATTTTGTACGAGAAAAAATATCATGCAATCTATCGCTATCATATTTCGGGTATTACTAATGGGATGATCTAATAGCATGTATTGTTATCGTTTTTGCCTTTTGAGAACAGCGAAAGCATCGTTGAATCTTTACTCTCATATTTCAAATATAAGATGTAACACACACATATCTATATATCTATCTATCTATCTATCTATCTATCTATCTATCTATATATATATATATATATATATATATATATATATATATATATACTATGGGGGGAAAGAAGTATGTGTTTCGTCCTTTACGACTTCATTGTGTTTACGTTGATGCGACTACGCATGCGCACGAACAAAAAGAGACGCTGAGAATTTTAAATTTAATTTTTTTTTTTTTAAATGTGTTTTGGGTATATATTTTGATATTATTATCAAGATATATTGTTCTTACTACCAACTCTGTCACAACTACAGTTGAAAAGAATTTATTTAAAACCAACATAAAATTTGTCACAGCTAAAACAATAAGACACTTAATTAAAAGAAAACATAACAACGAGCTCAAACATAAAAGCGGAATGAACTCTATTACCTGTAATAATTGCCACAAGAAATATATTGGAGAAACCTCAAAGAATTTAAATAAAAGATTATATGAACACAAAATAGATATCTTACAAAACAACACATTACATTAGTTGCTCACCGTGACGAAACTGACCACAATTTTGATTTCAAAAGAACACTAATCTAATTAAAAGAGAAGACAGTTTACGAATATAAAAATGTCTAAAAATCCTTTAATCGTTAGATCATCCATAGTAAATTTGCGTCTAGGTTCTTACAACGTTTCACGTTTCTTGGCAGATCTTCTATTACCAAAATGTGGGATATTTAAAAACAAAAATGATGGAAACATAGAAAAAAAGAAAAAGAATCTAAATGAAATTGGCTAGATTATATAACCAAAACACATATTAAGAAAAATTAATTTAAAAGTATCAGTTTCTCTTTCATTCGTGCGCATGTGAAGTAGCATCAACGTAAACACAAATACACACATACACACACACACATATATATATATATATATATATATATATATATATATATATATATATATATATATATATATCTTCGTTTTATTGTTTTGTATATTACAATTCAGAGCTGATTTTCAGGTAGGGGGTCCAATTAAAAAAAAAAAAAAAAACATGATTTGCATTCTTCAAAGCCTTGTGCTTTTAACTATTGTAATCACTAAACCTGACCCGATCGAATTTCTAGCGTTTTCATAAAATTAGTTATGGGGTGGGGTAATAAATATAAAAAAAAAAAATTCTGCCATGACTTTAATAAAAATAAAAAAAATAATTTCGATCATCTGTGAATAGTTTCTGAACGTTTCATTAACATCCGAGAATTATTTTTATTTTTGCAAGATTTTCCAAATTAATGTGTGTCACACAAAAAAAAGTGCTAAAAATTGTATATGTTATTTTACTAGTACCGGTGATACAAAGAGAAACAAGGTTTTTTTAATCAAAACTTGTCCTGAATGTTCTAAAAAGAAGGAAAAATTTTAAAAAATTAATTAAAATAAACTTTGATCTTTCCCCTTAATAATAATACAAACATTTAGACGATAAAATTTTGTTTTCGCCAAGTTTGGCGTCTTTTTTTTCTTCATGCTATGCTCTTTTTTTAGCGATCTCATTGCGGTACATATATATATATATATATATATATATATATATATATATATATATATATATATATATATGAGGGTCAAACAGCTCAGTTCCTAGGGAACGAACAGGCCAGAACACCAGCACATATGATTTGATTATAGTGATTCAGACTTTGTGCAGAAGCAACCACAAAGTCCCCAAATGACCCTCCGCAGGTTTTGAATTGAGAGTTATCCTTTTTCTAGACCAGTTGCAATCTAAGGTTATAGAACCCAGTCTGTCCTGCTACTTAAACATAGATGGAGGGAGAAGAAGAGAATTAATACCTTTCCCAGGGGTATTAGCACGTAAGTGAATGTAATGGATTCGCACTCGGATCTCCGATTCCTCAATCAGGACCGCTATCTATAAAATTATATATTTGTATATATATGGTGGACTCTACCATCGTATTCGATGTATGAGGGTGTTATGGTCCGGTTCCTTGTAACACGGTGATAGTCCAAGGTAGAACCAATAAAGAAGAACTCGACCACGGATATGGAATAACACAGATATATTACAAACAGGAATATATACAGAGAAGTAGAAAATGTTAGTACGAACAATCATGTTTAATAGTAGTTGTCTGAACGCGACTCTGTTTCGGGCTGCCTCTGACGCGACTGACTGACTCGATCGCTCTGACTGACTGACAGACTCATGACGGACTTCACTCCAGACTTCAGGCTGAACTCCCTGCTTCCTCTTGAGGCGCAGTATTTATTACGTATGGAATAGTCCATTATGTTATTATGGGTAAGGTTCCATAACAGAGGGTCAAGCAGCTCAGTTCCTAGGAACCGACAGCTCAGACACCATCACATACGATTTGATTATAGTGCAGAACCAACCACACTTTTTGAAGGGCTGAATACAGAGACCTGGTGCACTACGTGCCACAATGTCCTTCCTACTAAATTAAAATAGTACAATTAAAAAATATTTTTCTAATCATATAAGTTACCTCCCTCACATAGAGGTAAAAATATTTTGAATTTACGGTGTTAACACATAACACATCTATAGATATGAAACCCCTGAAGATTGTCTCAGATGAGTTTGAAATTACTTGGGAAAATAAAAATTATTTGATATAAAAATTAGGAATTGTTATTTAATCAATTGACATCCAAGACTACAGAACCCAGTCTGTCCTGCTATTTACCCATAGCTAAAGGGAGAAGAAGAAGATTAATACCTTTCCGAAGGGTATTAGCTCGTAAGTGAATGCAATGGATTCGACTGGAATTCGAACTCAGCTCTCCGATTCCTCAATCCGAGCCGTTATCTACTACTAAACCGTGCCTCCTGGATTCGACTGGAATTCGAACTCGGCTCTCCGCTTCCTTGATCCGAGCCAGTATCCACTACCCCACCGTGCCTCCTTATATAAAAAAAAGGAGAGACGGTTAGTACTCCCCCTTGACAAGGACGGGATATGATCATTTGATCTTCTTAACACACACAATATATATATATATATATATATATATATATATATATATATATATATATATATATATATATATATATATATATATATATATATATATATATATATATATATATATATATATGAATTGGGATATGGATTGAATCCGACAGAATGATAGGTTAAGGGACAAATAGGAATCTGGATATACCAGACTGCAGTTTCTGTTTTATCTAACGGTTGTACTGGATTCTTTCCCGGACAAGGCCATGTCCCGCTTTTTCTGTGACCGGACGGGCTCTCCTTGAATTGACTGGAAGTCTTGGAGCCAAGCCTGAAGAGATGAGTCGTAAGTCTGTGCATCGGTGTAGGAATATTCGTGCCAGATTTTGGTGGGACTTTTCTGCCTCCATAATTTCGGTATATCGGGTCCGAACCGATCCTTCAATATCTGTCTAGATTCCTGAGATGAAATATTGTAAGTATTTACATTGTTCGGACTGTTGTCCTCATGTTTATTGCCATATTCACGACGTTTCGGTCGTTGAACGCTCCGGCCTTCTTCAGGTGATTGGAATTTAGAAGTGCCCCCTTTATTTCGTCCACCGAGGTAGATATGCGTGTGTGTGTGTGTTTACTTCAGCAAGATGTCGCACTCGCTTGCAATATTCCTTACTTCTGAGAAGTTGCCCCCACCTAACTTCTGGAGTAGCTATCCATAGATATTGCGATCAACTTCAGTTCAGTCTTAATTTTATTCTTTAGTAACCCCCGCAACCTGCTGTCCAGACGCGCCGTCGCCTCTCTCTGTCTTTTTTTACAAATTCTTTCATGGCAATTGCTCCGAGGAGCTGCATTCGCTGGTTCCCAGACTTCATGCGTTCAAGCGCCGTACGAGGTTGGCATTCCGCTCTCACCCTTTCACTGTCGAAACTACTAAATGTAGCCGTCTCTTCTACTCCAATAGCTTCATGTCTCGCACCTCTCGCCTGTGGAACTCCCTTCCCTATTCCAGTTTCCCTGAGAGCTATAATCTCCAACTATTCAAATGTAATGTCAATCGACATCTCCAGTTGCCTTGATCTATCCACTATCCTTCTCCTTATCCTTTCCTCTATCACTCCTATCTGCTCTCGCTCCAAATCTTCTGTAACCCCTTGCGTCCTAGTGGCTTCCCGCCTTGCTTGGGGTGAAACGCTTAAATATATATATATATATATATATATATATATATATATATATATAATCGCAATTAGTAGATACGCTTATGGTAAGATATTTTTTAATTTCTTACGCGAATCAAATGAAATGTATAAACATATAAGGTCTATTTTGTAATCTTTGATGTCAATTTAAATCGTTATTGTGTTTACTTACATGCGTCCATCGTATGGACGATATTTCTCTTTGCATTAGTCGCCTAAAGGAAAAATAGAAAAAAAATACACTTATTCTTGGTAATTTCCCAACGAAGGCATAAATTAAAAAATAAAAAATATACTTAGTGGCAAAAATTGTTCATTGAAATTGTTTTTTCAATGCTCAAAAGCATTTTATTTCTCTTGACTGCAAAATAATAGGAAGAGAGATGTTATAATCTTAAACCAAACGGTTACAAACGATAATTGTTACTGAAAAAGATCCATATAACAGAATAGTGGTAGACACGACGTTTCCCGATAAAGAATAAAATGAGTCTAATAAATATGCCTACCAAATTTGTACAAGAAATGCGTTGTTCTTGAATAACGACCGGACAAACTATTCCCAATTATATATATGTGTGTGTGTGGGGGGGGGTAAAGTGAGGGATGGATTTTTTATTTGTTAATGCGACAGATTTTTATTGCTTAAACTTTATTTTTAGCGGATACTCGTACTTGATTACACGCTCCGTTCATTTATTAAACAGTATATCTATTTATTTGTGTCTGAATATTCGAGAAATCGTATTAGAGAAAATATACGCTCTCCGACAGGATTCGAACCTACATTCTCCTAAGAGAAACCGTCATTAGATCTGACATGCATTGTCCTCTCGCCTACAAAGTGCGACGATGACAAAGTAAATATATATATAGAGAGAGAGAGAGAGAGAGAGAAAGAGAGTAAGAGTGATAGAAAGAGAGAGAGAGAGTGATATAGATAGATAGATAGATAGATAGATAGATAGATAGATAGATAGATCTGAACAGTGATATAGATAGATAGATAGATAGATAGATAGATACATAGATAGATAGATAGATAGATAGATAGATAGATAGATAGATAGATCTGAACAGTGATATAGATAGATAGATAGATAGATAGATAGATAGATAGATAGATAGATAGATAGATAGATAAACAGTGAGATAAACAGTGAGATAGATAGATAGATAGATAGATAGATGTATTTACTAAACTAGGCTTAGTCTGGCATAGAAAAACACAATAAGGAAAACATAACTCATGAGACTTGCGAGCTTTCTACATGAATCTACTCATCACTATTCAGCAAATTCGACAATTGGTTGGCGTCCAAAAACGCGTAGAATCGCATGCATAAATCACAAGTCAACAATCGCCCTTCCTAGTAAAAAGATTCCTTCACGCATTAGTCACATTTCTATTGAATGTGTAACGTTATTCATTCATTCATTCATTCGTTTATTTATTTAGCTACCATCAAAAATTTAAAAAATATTAAAATCGTTTTCCTCTTAACGTTGATGTAAAATCTTGTTATATGTGTTGATCGGACAACAATTGAGAAAAGAGTTCAGTCAGTTCAGTTCTGTGCCATGCGTGATACACACTTAGGCGATCATGTATCTTTCGATACATTACTGATCAGGCAGATTTTTTTCCCGCAGTAGATTGCCAGTTCTTTCTGCGGTTGACCAATTGCAATCCAAGTCTATAGAACCTGGTCTATCCTGCTATTTACCCATAGCTGAAGGGAGAAGAATTGGATTCATACCTTTCCCAAGGGTATTAGCACATAAGTGAATTTCAGTTTGTTATGTGACATGCATGATACAAGCTTAGGCGATCATGTATCTTTCGATACATTACTGATCAGACAATTTTTTCCCGCAGTAGGTTGCCATTTCTTTCAGCGTTAGACCAGTTGCTATCCGGTCGGTCTTGCTATTTACCCATAGATGGGGCGGAAGAAGAAGATTCATAGATTTCCCAAGGGTATTAGCATGTAAGTGAATGTAATGGAATTCGAACTCGGCTCTCCGATTCCTCAATCCGAGCCGCTATCCATTACTCCTTGGGAAAAGAGCTGTCATTTTGGATACTTTTCTGTACCAAACACAAGGGTTGATACGATTAAATACCTTTAGTTTCTCCCCACTCCGGCACGGTGATAATTTGGTACAGCACGCTTATTATTCTTCAACTAGTTTTCTCCACGGCACGATTATTTTGTTCCATGAATAAAAATTTACGCGCATATAAGTTGAAAAATTCCCACTGCCATGACTATTCCAGATAGTATTTTTATTTGCTGAACAGGAATATATTTTAAAATTCCTGGGAGGGACGTTTATTTGAACCACCCCGATTAATTTATAAGTTGAAAGGAATGAAAACGTGGGGATCTTCATGGACACAAACAAAAATGGTTTCTTCCATTAATCTAATGGATTATTTTATTTATATAAAAAAAATATCTTTCCAAAATCGCTTAGCAACAATGGAATTGAGTCATTGTTTTCCCAATACCCATATTCCACTGGTGCTTAATTTCATTTATTAGTATTGTTGTTGTTGTTGTTGTTGTTGTTTCTGACTTGTTGTTTTGGTGAGATCGGAAACGAGACATCGGGAGGATGTGGAATTCGGATGGTTGCATCCGGAGTGGGATTAGTGAATGACTGATCAAGCAAGTTCCGCTGCCATCGTTACATCGTAGTGAAGAATTTGGTCACATACGTTTGGCACGTCAATTCATTTATTGACACGTATGTACTTTTGTGGCAGGGTCAAAGGGGAACGGTATCCACGCACTGTGCGCATGCGATTTAATCGAAACGTGCGCGCACACACACACACACACACACACACACACACACACGCACGCACACACACAACACAAATGAATGATAAATATATGTGCATATACGTGATAGATATAGATATGTACAGACTAAGAAACAAATGAACAGGGTGATAGATAAATAGACAGATAGATCTGAAAAGGGTGATAAATATATATATATATATATATATATATATATATATAATATATATATATATATATATATAAAAAAAACAGGTGTTATAATCCGGTGTTAGATATTTTTATTTTTACAAAATAGTGCTCAATGTAAATTTACAGAGCATTAATATTATAAATTAATTGATTTAAAATATGTTTTTCCCGCTAAACATGGTTAGAACTGTGTAGCGAAAACCATATTTAAATCAATTAATTTTATATATATATATATATATATATATATATATATATATATATATATATATATATATATATATATATATATAAAGATTGGCCTGACGATTGGATATAGCAGAGAAACAGACTGTCGCCTCTAAGTGTTGACTTCTATGTTCACTTTTTATTTATTTATATTATATATATATATATATATATATATATATATATATATATATATATATATATATATATATATATATCACTGGTCATCGACGTTTGTCGGACTCATTATGATCTTTAACAAAATATACTATTGATATACCTTAGATACTAAAATCATTCCTTTACTCTAACTAAAATATCTAATTTTTTAAAATATGTGTATGAAATGAAAAAAAAAATGATTTAGGTTTATTAATTGTAATTCGTATAAAAATTAAAAGTTACAATTTAATGGTGAGTTAAACTCTCAGTGAAGCAGAAAAGGGCGTGCGTATCCATTTAAAAAATCTTTACTATCCATTGCTGATCAAAATAAAAATTCTCATGAAAAATCCTCTTATAAAATGATTGTTTACGATCTTTTATCATTGATTGAAACATCGTATTTGATAGATAGTATTTTGACAACTGATAATAGTATATGATCTCTCATATTTCTGCATTCAATATTTACTTAAAACATAATTTCACTCTTTTTGGTAAAGAAATAAAAGCTGATTTAAAAAAAAGAAAAGAAAAAAGAAAAACACGGAACCTGCATATAGCCTGACGTATTATTCTAGTTTAGCTATGAAAGTCGCGTTGGTTTAACAAAGGTCGAATTATTGCCTTTAAACTACAAACTTCCCATGATTTCCCTCTAACGTTCATATTTGCTCGAAGCGTATCATAACGTAAACAAATGACGTCATATATTATGAAATGGACTAAGTCTAACAATTATTTTAATATATTTTATTGTTATAAGTTATTCATATAAACGTGTAGGATGCAGGTTCGATTCCCGTCGAAGGACGCATATTTTTTATGCGATTTCTCGGACATCCAAGCCGGTAAATGTTGTTAATACTGTTTATTATAAACAAAGCATTTACTTAAATATTTGTGTCTATATAAATAACGTATACCAATAAAATATATTAAAATAATTGTCGGACTTATTACATTTCATAATATATATATATATATATATATATATATATATATATATATATATATATATATATATATATATATATATTGGTTAATAGCTATACTTGTGCCCATCTCGGGCAAGAACAAGCGCTCGCAACCGTGCACAACTCTTCATCGTATGTAGAATAAGGGTAGTCAAACTGTTGAGCTCAGTCATTTTCAAAAAATCTGTTGACACAGAACACCAATCCTACGAGACACACTTTTCAGTCCATTTCATGTACATACATATATATATATATATATATATATATATATATATATATATATATATATATATATATATATAATACATTGGTTTATACCAACGGCTTCCCATACTTAATACTTAATACTTCTCGTTTTAACTCTCCCGTGGTCATGCGTGACGTCACGAGCTGCGGTGCGATTTTCGCTTCCGCATCTCGTATACACGAGTTTATCGTTGCTTGGAAATCTTTCATGCAACAAAAACAGACTATCATTATTGTTTTGTCCGTGTATTGTTTAATATATTGAAATATAATTGTAATCTTTCATAATGGCTTATGTAAACCGAAAGCTTAGATAGGATTAAAAAACATGTATCAATATGGTGATTTTCTTTCATCTTTTAATGATAATGTTATTAAGCTTATCAGACAAAATGAAAGGAATTTAATTAAAATAAATAAACAAAACTTGTCTATATTATTTAATGAAACATGAAATATATATATATATATATATATATATATATATATATATATATATATATATACGAGGAGCAAGATGTTCTCATAATGTTATGGTAAAAAGAAGCCCCTAAGAACTTTTTGTATTGTTACTGAAGTGTATATTTCAGCAAATAAATGACTATAAAAATACATTTTTCGTAATTATTTTTCGTTTAACACGATAAAAAAAAGAATTGATTTATATATAATAGTAGCAGAATTACTTAGCATAGTATTAATATCAGCTAATTAATCTGAAACCCCTCTAGTTCTGGTCAGCTTCTGCTCTTTGACCAGTCGAAACGAATACTGGAAAGAAGTATGCTTTTTTTTTCTTCATACCGTTGACTAAAGAGTCAAGACGAGAACGAGGCGGGAAGCAGTTCTCGAAAGGATTTTCAAGGTTAAAAAAGGCCATAAGATAAGAACCTTTTTGTATTGCCTTTCATTACTGTCCTTGTCAGTGACTATAAATATTAGTATTTTTTAAAATTATTCTCTTTTTATTGAAGACAAAGAGCTGCACCGCAAAAAGGATTTAAATTTAAAAGTAGTAACAGTAGTAGTAGTGGTATTAATTAATCTGATAGCCCTCTCGTTCTGGCCAGCTTTCACTTTTTACCAATCGAAACGAACGATGGAGACCATGTCCTTTCGTTTTCTTTTTTACCGTTGGCTCGAAAGTCAAGGCGTGCATACGGAACGAGCTGCTTTCAAAATATTCTAAATGTTAAAAAAAGCTACAAGAACTTGGATAAAGTTTAAACTTTATATTATTATATATCTATGTATAAAGAAAGGAATGGATTATAAATAAAATTCATTAATTTTCCGCTCAAACGGCCGCATGGACGCATGCGCGCCAACGCTCACACACTTGCACGCACACATAAACTATGAAAAAAAAATTCCTACCAATGAAAATTGCATATAAAAAAGATATTTATATAAAAAAGAAAAATCGAGAAGTATAAGGATTAAATTGCTCATACACCCTGACGAGTGGATGAAGTGATTTCCGGAGCGTCTGTCTACGAAACTTTGGAGTCAGGATTCTGTATATATATATATATATATATATATTATTTTACATTCAACATCATCACTTGATAAGACACCGTAGGTGTTGA